TCCCCAGATAGGGTTCTTTATCAGCCCAGGACCCTGCTTGTTCTTGCTCCATGTGGGTTCAGCCAGGAAGCCTGGGGGTGACTTTCAGGGCTTCCTGCCCACTCACACACATATATACACTGAGCCTGAGATGCCAGCCCTCCAGCTGTGCTTGCCCAGCTGACACCATGGGGCCTCCCCTCTCAGCTCTCAGCTAAAGCACCCTCCCGTTTCCTGACAACAAGGCATGTCTAGTCCTCTCACCAGCAAGGACCATGGCAACCATGATGGACCATCAGAACCAGTCCCTAATCGATTCTGATGCCAGCACACATGCTCCTGGGCTCACCGTCTTTCCTAACATCTCCATATATAAATAGAAACTGAGATTTCCCACGATTGCTGTTCTAGACCACGGGAACCAGGACCCAGCACTCCAGTTAGTTAACTCCTCCTACCCACCCCCAGCCCACTGGTTCCTCACAGAGGGGCTGTTTGTGTGGCCCACATTCTCCTAGAATGAACTCTGCTCATGGAGTTGGTGGCTGGACCTGGGGGTGTGTACTTTTCCAGTGCCTCTTCTATTCACCTTTAATTACACTGTTTGCCTAGCTCCCCAAACTATTAACTTCCACCTCTCAGCAACCACACATCAATTAATGGAGGGCCTGCTCAGAGCTCAAGGCTCCTGAACACAATTAAGCGTGACAGTCCACAAATAAGAAAGAACGGGAGAATTAATTAAGGTCTAAACAAATTAATTACCAGTCCCTGATCGATTCTGATGTCAGCACACATGCTCCTGGGCTCACCGTCTTTCCTAACATCTCCATGTATAAATAGAAACTGAGATTTCCCACATGATTGCTGTTCTAGACCAGGGGCACAGCAAGGCTTGGAAACCAGCTTGAGGAAGAGAAGTGGCCATCCTCCCTGGCTTTCCATGTGTTCATAGGCACGAAGTACATGCACACACACATACTCAGCACACACATGAACATGCGTGCACACACACCTGGGCTGAAACACCAGGGGTGAGCTTGGAGGCAAAGCCTGCTCCTGGTGGGACACTGAGTGACTCTGGACGCTTTCAGCCACAGGGGTGAGGGCTATCCAAGTCAAGATAGCCCTAGGCTGGGCCTGGAAGGCCTGGGTTTTCCTCATCTTAGTATAACTCTTAGCAACTCTGAATTTGTTTATTCTTCTGTAAAATGGTAAGGAGGAGAACTGAAGTAGAAGGTTGGCCTGCTGGAGAAATGTGGAAAGACAGAAATCCCTGTGTGTTGGGCTCTGCAAACTCAGGGAGGCCTGCAGCAACTGTGAAGGAGGTCTCAGCAGGAAGGAGCTGAAGCGGGGTCTGTTTCCATGCCCCATTTCCAGATGAGGAGATTGCAGGCAGTGGGGTGGGAGCAGCAGATTTGGGTGCGGAGACCAGGGGTCTTGCACCCTGGGTGTCTCAGGTGAATGGAGTCCAGTGAAGAGAAGTCTCCTCCCACCTCCTACACCAGGCTGGAGCTGGAGGTCCTGGGAGGAGCCAGGAGTCAGAGGGATGGGAAAGAGCCATTGACTGCCGGGAGCCTCCGTATTCCCTGGAACTTGAGTCTCCAGCCTGCCCAGGAGGTGGGAGTGAGGATGTGGCTTCTGAGCACAGGGCACAAAGGCCCCTTCAGGACCCTTCTGTCACACTGAACACACCTACCCCAACACACATACACACAACAGCCAGGGCTTAATATGATCGCTTCCTCTTGTCTCAGCCTACATCCTATGTGCACTCACGGCTTGCTGAGTCCTGTCTCCTCATCATACCAGGGCCCCAAGGGGGCAAATGTCCTCTACAAGGTAAAGCAAGTCCTGAGCAAGCTTCTCAGTGGCCTTAACATTAGCCTGGCCCACTGCAGAGAGCAGGGGTGAACACTTGGCAGGACCTAGACCCTCCCAGTACACAGTGGGGCTTGGAGATGCTCTGTCCTGGCCAGGTGGTGCCTGGGGCTAAGGTAGAGGGAGGCCAGGTGCAGGGACTGGATGGTAGCCAGGTAGGGTGAGTGAGGGGCATGTCTCTTCCTCTCGTAAACCACTGCGTTAACGTTAACTAGGAGTCAGCAGATGCCCATTTGCAGATGGGCCTGGGATGGACATTAGGAACCAAAGAGATAAAAGCCTGCATGTGGGGGAGAAGAGAACTGGGGCTGGGGGTGGATGGCGGGCAGGCACATAGCTAGGACTTGGGCAGTGGGCCTGTGGAAGCAACCAGAAAGGGCGTGCTTTTCTCAGGATCCTGGTGAGCTAGAATCACCAGGGCTGTGACCCATGCTATGTGCAGCCTGTGCAACTGGCCAGAAATATGTGGGGTTTTTAGACTCCTGAACAGTGGCTGGGTGAGTGAGAGGGGGCCAAAGTTTCCTTCCTGACAAAAAAGGGGGGAATTACAGGCTGGAGCCCAAAGAGGGACAGGTCAGAAGGTCTCAAGTGGTGATGGCAGAAAGGATCAAAACCAAAAGCAGGGACCCTCCCCTGAAGATCCCCAGAGAGGTTAAGACAAGACCACCCCAAGGTCACCCAGCAAGATGGCGCAGAGCAGGGTGGGAATGGGCCCCTGGTGGAGTTCTTATCTGAACTGTGGCTCCGGGGACAGATTACATCTGCCTGAGTCCCAGATCCAGTCCAGTGCAGCTGAGAGCCGCCCACTTTTCAGATTGCATTTGACCCTTCAGCCCCAAATGGCAAGGAACGCAGATCGGCAGCAGTGCTCGCTCAATTAGGCCCCTTAACAAAGTCAGATCTAAAGAGTTATTCCATTAATGGCCTGCGCCAGAAATAGCCAAGAGTTCATTAAAAGTGTGGAGTTGCTATAGCAATTATCTGGGTTGGCTGAGGCTCAGCTGGGTGGTTGGTCCTGGAGTTCATTAGCCTCTGGGCCATTGAGGAGGTGGGGCTGCCCAGTAATGATCTCCCACCTTCTCAAGGGGGCTTTTCAGGGGCTTCAAAGCATTTTCCTATCAATAAGGATATTTTCTATGGCCTCATCTCATCCTCCCCACAGCTCTGGGACATAGGAAGGTGGGTATGGTGCCCCCATTTTACAGATGGGAAAGCTGAGCCCTGAAGGTGAAGAGAGCAGGGCTGGGACCAAGACTTCTCGCTCTTCAGACTGAGCCTCAGCACCAGGGAGGTCACAGGACCCCACACCCCATCCTGGGCCTGCTTCCATCTTTGTTCTTTGGCATCTGATGGGGAACTCAGGTGTTATCATTCGAGCACTACTTACATTTCTCTTTTTTTAATTTTATTTTTATGTATATAAGAATAGATACAACAAAACATATACTCATTCTGCATAACAGTTTCTGCATAAACAGTTCAGTGACACTGTTTACATTCTTCATATTGTACCACCATTCTCTTCATCTCTACCCGGATTGTTTCACCGCCATTAACTTAGAAACTTAGTCCACTGCCCCCTAAACTCTTTATTTATGTTTTAGAGTTACTGTTGTCAATTTGATCTCATATAGATAATTCTTTAAGAGAGCACAATGCTTAAGGCAAACATTCTTTATTAATTGAGCTAAACTGTTGTTCAGTTTAAAGACGACTTTAGGGGAACACTTCTCTTTTGAATACTAATCATGCACTGCCACGTGCTGCTTTCAATGTTTATTTCTTTTTACTGTTCTTTAAACTTCCCACTGCTGTGCCCCCTCCGCAAACAGGGTGTAGGTTTTAAAGGGCTGGGATGGGCCCTCAGGGCCAGGCCTGACCCATCTATTATGAGTTCCTAACTCCAAATCCATTTGGAGCCCTAGTGGCACAGTGGTTAAAAGTTCGGCTGCTAACCAAAAGGTGGGCAGTTCCAATCTACCAGCCACTCCTTGGGAACTATGTGGCAGTTCTGCTCTGTCCTATAGGGCCACTATGAGTTGGAATTGACTCAATGGCAATGGGTAACTCCAAATCCAGCCAAGACTGGGCTGACGGAAGGAGAAAACCCCTTCACACACACGTGTGCACATGCACAACCATCTGGACTTGAGTGTCAGCCTCCAAAACCTGAGGGGCCCACAATACTCAAAGACTTGAAACACTAGACTAGCTGGGGCTCAGAATCTTTCGTGTGTGTGTGTGTGTGTGTGTGTGTGCGTGCGCGCGCGCGCGCGCCATTAGCTCCTCTGGAGCCCTGGTGGTACAGTGGTTAAGAGCTCAGACTGCTAACCAAAAGGTCGGCAGTTCAAATCCACCAGCTGCTCCTTGGAAACCCTATGGGGCAGTTCTACTCTGTCCCATAGGGTTGCTATAAGTCAGAATGGATTTGATGACAAGAGACTTGGTGTTTTTGGTTAACTCCTCTGGCAGTCTGGTGAGGCCTATGCAACTCTCAGAATAATGTTCTTAAATGCATAAAAGAAAATACATAGGATTACAAAGGGATTCTATGGAAATAAAATATCAGGCTATTTTTTAAATTGTGATACAGTAATAGATGTGTTTTTTAATTAGTGAATTAAATAATGAGATCTAACAGAGGATCTATTAACTACTGAAGCTGTGAATTAGTGTTGAGCATGAACGACATTTTAAGATCCCTGTAAAAACTACAATGTGACATGAAAATATCTGTGACTTCTATTGGTGAAAGAGTCACAGGTCCTGCTAATATTACTGAGGTTTGTTGCCTACATTTATAATTGAAGGAAATGTTAAATTGCAGTTAGAGGTTAGTGCAAATATTTTCCCCAATCAAGTTCACGGGATCCCTTGCATTCTATCTACAGACTCTTTGGGGGCCTGAAGATTCCAATCAGCCCCTGTGCTAAAAGCAGAGTCTCAGGCACAGAGGTAGTCAGCAGGGTCCTTGTCAACACTTTCTCTATTCATACACATTTTGCTCCAGTTACCCCAGCCAGAAGACCCCAGGCATCAGGAGAGGTGTGGAAGAGCAGGCCAGCTCCTGGGGACCCCCGCCGCCACACGTCCACATGGAGCACATGCACACAGACAGCCCCTCCCGGTGCAAGTCTTACCTACAGCAGGGAACGGCACGAATCTCTGGACAAGAAGGCGAGTGGCAGGGGTGAACTTGTTGGCTTTCTGAACCAGGACATTAAGGCCCACCTTGGAAAGAGAAAAACAGAAAAAGGGCACGGTGTTGCAGTGGCCTGCGGGAGGAAGGGCAGACGGACAGGGGTATCGTCTTCTCCCTGAAATTGCACCCAGGCACCTATTCCTCAGTCACCTGATGTTGCAAAGGTCCAGTGTGGCTATTTAAAGTACCATTACCTATTCATCCCAGTTAACTGGCCCATGAGGAAGGAAGAAAGGAAAAATATCACACACACACAGTGGGACTGCCTCCCACGGGGTGGGAGACGGATGGTGGGGCAGTTGCTGGTAAAAAGTTACATAATCTGCAAATAAATGAAGTATAAACTGGTTGCTGTTGAGTTGATTCCAACTCATGGCAAACCCATGTATGCAGAGTAGAATTGCTCCATGGGGTTTTCATGGCTGTGACCTTTTGGAAGCAGATCACCAATCCTTTCTTCCAAGGCACCTCTGGGTGGGTTCAACCTGCCAACCTTTTGGTTAGTAGCCCAGCACTTAACATCTGCACCACCCAAGGACTTCTAAACGAAGTATAGGAACCTCTCATTCCCACTCCAACCTCTAACCACTGCTTTGCTTGGCCCTACTGAGGGCCTAGGCACAGGTCTGGAGTGGGAGCCCAGGCTAGGCAGAGCAGCTCAGAGCAGAAGTGAAAGCCCTGGGCCCACTACCCTGCCTTCACCCAGACCTTAGCTCCCCTTGCCCAATCCAGGACACCAGGCCCCCTCCCTCGCCTTCACCTTGTGTACTCCCCACACCAGTCCATCTCCTGTGCTGTCCCTTGTCTTTCTAGAACACATGTCCAATCACTATCACCAATTCCTTCACACAGCACTTGGCCTTCCATAACCTCACCTTCCCACTCCTCCAATACCCCACATTCTATCTACATGGTCTGGGTTGCTGTTTATCAAATGCTACATGAACCTTCCAGCTGTAGGGCCTTTACCAGTGCTGTTTCCTATGCCTGGAATGCCTTCCCACCTCTACTTGTTCCACACCTGTTTTTTAAGGCCCACCTCTAGTGTCACTTACTAGCAGTGAGACCTAGGCAGGTAAGTAATTTAGCCTTTCTCTGCCTCAACTTCCTTGTCTGTAAAAAAAATATTAATAGCTACATCCCAGGGGTATAAGAATGTATGTAAATGCTTAGCGTGAGCTTGGCACATAAGAGGCCTCAATAAATGAAGCTCCATCATAACAATGCCGCCTTCTCCTGGGCAATAAATTGCCTCACACATCATCAATAGCTCCATCTCAACATCACTCAGTCCACTCCTCATGGTTCTGATGTCCCCTCCCAATTGTGAGGGAGGTACCATCTTTGTATGCCAGCACTTAGGATAGTGGATGGCACATGGGAAATGCTCAACAACCTGGTGAGTGGGGAATGATTGCATGAACCAACAAACAAACGAAAGGATGGTGAGATCAGCAAAGGCTGGAAAGGGGTCTTCTTATGGGAGGGGAAGGTAGGCTTAGGCCAGGCAGTGGACAAGGACCTTCTGGCAGGTTAGATGACATGGGTATAGGTACAGAGAGAGAAAAGGAGAGGCTCACGTGGCCCGGCCAGAGGACAGGTATACAGGTCTATAGCTCCTGCCTGTAGATTTTTTCCGGGCCCTAAGGCGGCCTGCTCTTGGCTCTGCACACCTGGTAGCTTAGCAGGCTACCCTGCTCCCTCAGCCCTGGCTCTGGCCTCAACCTTCTGGGTTACTGAGGAAGATGCAGGGCTGCCAGTGCTTGCAGCAGTCTAGGCAAGTGCAGTACAGCAGGAATGGGAGGGCCAGCCCACCAGCCTCCTCCCCTCCCGGCAGGCACTGCGCCCAGGGCCTTACTGAGCCAGCGTTCTGTAGGCAGATCCTGCCTGGGTTCCATTTTGTCTCAAGCTGATGCTCAGAGTCCAATCTTTGTCCTCCCTGCTTGCTCGAGGGATGGCTGGGAGGCAGGGTGATGCATGGCAGCTTGGATACCTTGTGTGGTAGAGTGGGGCAGGGCTGGAAACTGCTAGCCCAGGCTGGGCCCTGCCACCCCTGCTTCCCAGGCTTACCCTAGTCATGGAGATGGGACTCACCAAGTTAAAAAACAAAACAAAACCCACTGCTGTCAAGTCAATTCTGACTCATAGCGACCTTACAGGACAGAGTAGAACTGCCCCATAGGGTTTCTAAGGCTGTAAATCTTTATGGAAGCAGACTGCCACATCTTTCTCCCACAGAGCGGCTGGTAAGTTCAAACTGTTGCCCTTTGGGTTAGCAGCCAACCACTTAACCACTGTGCCACCAGGGCTCATTTCACTAAGTCCAGGTCTCCTCAACTCACAGCAGGGAGTGCCTGTCTATTTCTGTGACTCAAAAAGGGCCTCACCCCCTCGCCCGAAACAACATCAGGGCGAATGCTGCTACAGAGTGTGGAGAAGAAAGCGTGGAAGTGCTGAAGGACCTGCAGATGAGCATTAGTGATGAAGAGGAAGAGGAGGAAAGGGGGCCTGGGAGAAGACAGTTAAGTCTCTCCTATGTGCCGGGCCATGCGCTAAGCCTGTGACATGAAATATCTTGATTGAATCCCCCCTACAAGGCTTTTGCAATTATGAATATGGCACAGGACTTGACAACAGTTCATTCTGTTATACATAAGGTCGTCATGAGTCAGAGCTGACTCAACAGCAACTAACAAGGCTTTTTGGTAGGACATGTTGCCCCTTTTCACAGAGAAGAGGTAGGTTCAAAGAGGTTAAGTGACTTTGCCCAAGGATAGACAGCTATTATGAGGAAGGTGAAATTAGGATTTGAACCCAGGGTCTGCTAACTCCAAAGCTTTGCTCTTAACCACTGTGCTATTTATTTTCCAATCGTCTTCTTTCTTAATAAGTGATGCTTCAATGCCTCACGTGCCATTTAAAACTGGCTCTTCATAGCAAGATCCAGATACTGGCTTGGGGCAGGTGTCCAGATGAGTGAAAAATGGAAGGCAGATCAAGTCAGGAGAGACGGGCCTCAAACCCATCCCCCAACTGCCGGCAGCTAGAAATCAGGTCTGCGTTCAAAGCCCCACCTAACTCATTTGGAAAGATGCAGGAAGTGCTGGAGGAGTGGGAAGAGGGAGCCATCCAAAGAAGCCAGCAGGGTTGCTTGGCCCCTTCCTTGTGGTAGTCTCTGGGGGTGGGCAGGGCTGGGAGGGTGGGTAAGGAGGAATAGTGGCCACGGGTTGTAGCAAACACTCAGCTTTGTCCTGTTACCCTCAAGCCTTCCCGTCCCTGGCCACAGCCATTCTTCCCACTGGCTAGGACTGGCACAGTGCAGAGTGGGTGTCTCACATGTTCTCACCCATCCTACACTGGAGGCCAGAGTAGGGAGGAAGAAAGAAGAGAGAAAGCAGTGCTCCAGTCTCAGGTCTCTTCTGGCCTCCCCTCCCCTGAAGCCCACCAGGGTCTCTCCAATGTGGATGGGATGCAATTAACACAATGCAAGCTTCTGAGAGCATAGTCAACATGCCCAGGCCAAGGGAAGAGCTGAGGACCAGCAGCAGTGGGCAGAAGACCTGGGCCTGTTTGTAGCTGTGAGCTCACCAGAAGTTAGGGAGGTTACCCAGCCCACCTAGCGATGCCGGGCCCAGTGGCAGGGATGGCATGAATAGTGGAGAGGCAAGTGGCCACTCAGCCTCGATCCTCCCCCCGCCCATGGCCCAGGACCTACTGTCCCAGCAGTGAGGATGGCCACAGCCTGGGAAGGAACCCAGGGTGGGCTACAGACCTGGGACTAGGAGCCCGTCTGTTCTGGTTCCTCAGGAGCTGTTTGGCCTGGAACATTTGGTGGAGCCCATTAAAATTAAAAAGCCAAGTGGCTGGTGCCTCTGAATGCCAGCTCGTTTTCCCTGGCATGGTAGGTCCTGTTTAAGGGAACCAGCTGGCACTAATGGCACACAACTCATCACGAACAGCAGCTAGCGATCAGAAAAATCTGAGCTAATAATCGGGTTCGGGGAAGATAATGAGATATGGAACAATTGCTGCTGAGGGTCCCTGGGGTCTGTTTTGACAGCCTCCAAATAAGCCACAAAGTAGAAATTAACCAAACAGGGGTTCCATTTTGGCCGAGGGGAAAGCAAACAGGATGCGGATTTTGCACGAGAATTCCCTGTGTGGCCAGCAGATGGGATCCTGGGAGAAGCAGGAGGCCAGGACCCGCAGAGACCAGGGGACTGTCTCCACCCACTTCTCTCCAAGCTCTGGCTCCCAAGTCAATGAATTTATCACAGGCAGCTGACAGGGGCTAGCGGAAGAGGAGGGAAGACTGGCTTCCAGACAGTCCCCACTTAGCTGGGGCTAAGTGCTGACCAGCACCAAGAACCTCGGATGGGGTGGGAGTGCCATGATAATAACTTCAGCATCATGAGCTAAGGGGCTGAAGAGAAACCAATGGTAGCTGTATTCATGAGCCTCAAGGTCATTTCCAGGACAACAGCGGCCTAATTTCTGCAAGGTCAGCAAAGAGACACTGGATGGAGCTTGGCAATGCATGTGTCTCTCACTCAGCACTATTCCTCCTCTCTCATTCCTAGCTCAGTTCCTCGTGTCAGAAAAGTCAGAGTTGTCTTGGACAGGAGCCTCTCCCACTCCACATCCAGCCCATTGCCTAGATCTACCTGTTCTATTTTCTTGGGATCTTGAATGCAGCCACTTCTCTCCCTCTGCCTCTACCATCTAGTGGAAGTGCCTATCCTCTCTCCCTGGATGACTGCGCAGCTCCTAACTGGGCTCCCTGCTCCCACTTTTACCCCCAGTAACAGTGATCTTCTAAAAATGGATAGCAACTCCTGCTTGAAGTCTTGCTTGAAACCGATGTTCACTGCCGCGCTATTCACAACAGCCAAAAGGTGGAAACCACCCAAGTGTCCATCAACAGATGAATGCATAAACAAAATGTGGCGTATCTATACAATGGAATATTATTCAGCGATAAAGAGAAATGAAGTTTTGATACATGCTATGACATGGATGAACCTTGAAA